TTGTGATATTGATGTGATAAGATGGCACATGCGTGAGGAAAACTTGAAAGTGTCTTATCTATCATATCGGCATCGATGATGCTCTGGTCACAGATGCGGAGTTGGGCAACGATAATACAGTGCAGTTCTGAATCATAACTATGAAAACTCGGGAAGTCAAGGACTCGAGATTCAACCAATCACTCCGGGCTTGTGGTAGGATGATCGTTTCTTCATGCTGGAAGCGTGATTCGAGCGCCGTCCATAGAATTGTTGGATCCTCCTCGTGTATGTACTGCATCCGTAATGACGGATCGAGATGTCGGCGAAGTACCAACAGTGTCTGCCACTTCAGCGCCGACTCAATCTCCTTCTCCAAGTTCGGTTTCAGCGTGTAGATCATTGCTTCGGCGGAGAGATACGACCTTATATTGAAGTGCCAATCTAAAAAATTTGTCCCATCGGGTGCTAAAGGTTTGAAGTAGAGCTGAGTGACTCTACAGTACTTGGATTGTGCTTCAGTCGTCATAGTGAATCTAACTATCTACTCAAGGAACAAGAAGACTCCTTTGTACACAAGATTCTTTGGTACTTGGTACAAAAGAATCGCCAAAGGTAAAAGTGGGAAAGAGAGATGAGATGGAGACTCCGGAAAGGGAAGGGTAGATGGAGAGAATGATGTTTCAAAGAGTGTTAGAGAGCAACAAGAAGAAGGAAGCTGAATAAGATCGGCAAGACACACTATGCTCAATGGAACACTAGAAACTGCAGCGAAGATGGCGCGCTAAGTGCGTCAAAATCTGAATCACTGCCACACACTCCACAACAAGCTCACCTACCAACAAAGAAACCTATCACCGAGCTCTAGACCAAGAACACAAAGTCCTTTATGATCTTTCAGCCCTTCTTCACCCGATACAAGACTCGGTTCTCAAAGCACTTGGAAGGATGTCAACTGCAAACTGACAGGTGAAAACAGAAAACTAACAAATTGATAGATGCAAACAAAAAAAACTGACAGGTGCAAGCAGAAAGCTGAAAAACTGACGGGTGCAAATAGAAAGCTGACAGGAGCGAGCGTGCTAATAACGTGTTGCGAGAAGGAAAAATAGAAAGAGAACAAAATAGTGAGACAAAAGAAACAATGCTTTTGGATCTCTCTCTCTTCTCTCAAGACAGTGCTCCTAGTAAATACTCTCAAAGTAAAGTATATTGAATGATCTCAAAGGTTGTTACAGTGCCATATTTATATGGCAGTGAGGGTTAGTGTACACTTTATTAATAGAGAGACCGTTGGTTAGAAGTCTCAATACTTCTCAGGGTTAGGGTAAACCCTCCCTATCTTTAGAGATTGGTTATCTCAACAGAGATGTTGCACATTGTGTTTCCACACTCTAGGATATTCCACACTCTATTAGTTCTATAAATGTGAAAGCACTTGATCTTTCAAAATTTCAAGTAGTAATATTTACAAGCTATAAAAAATCTAGAGTCATGCTTCCTGATCGAATATATTTAACTTAGACTTAGAATAAGTTTAACTTGTACTCAAGTAAAATTCTCCCACGAAAATGTGGATATGCTATTTACTATTCCATATGTAAAGTTATTTAGAGGTAGATGAGTAAAATCTTTTAATCATTGCAAAGAGGAAAGATTGTTTGAAAGACGTGAATCATTCTTTGGGGGATTTCACGTAAACAAGTTTGACTGCACATCGGCCGTGTAATTTGGTTTGTCATGTCAGCGGACAGATCTTTCCTCCGCTCCAGCTATACCCTCCGACCACTCTATAACCTTAGTCATCCGTTATGTGTCTCACGGCATATTACATTATTCATTCTAGAGCATGGTTGGTAATCTAAATGAGGTAATCTAGGCGCTTTTGTGGAGATATTTGCTTGATGGGACCCCATCAAGAACATATTTGCTTGATGGGACCCATCAAGTTTTGTTTTACCTAATGGGACCCCATGGACAGTGTGTCGTCGATGACTTCTAGTATATGTTCTAATATGAATATATCTCCGTTGCATGTTCTTGTATTTGTTCTTTAAAAAGTATGTTCATACTTCAGAAAATCCGGGAGCCGAGCCGAGAAACATTCTATGGCCCTCACCGTCCACCGAGCGGACCGCTCGATTGAGCCCCAAATTTGTTGTGGCACGCAACGATATAACTCCTACACTCACCCAGTGCAACAAGGCCTTGAGGTCTGCCGACCCAATCTGAGCTCCCGATCAAATCCGTCCCTACTCCGAATTATCTATCGATACTCCCTCACGGCCAACACCTTATGCTTCTCCGGATAACCTGAGATTCCATATCCGCTGCCTGACGATCCCGTTCCGGCACTATCGAATCCGAGGTGCAAGAGACAATCGAGACTTCACTTCACAGCCGCAGCAGAGAGCCAGGAAATGTTGCTGCTCATGACCACCACCGCCAACACAACCTTGGGCTCCACACCGGCGAGCTGCCACGTTCGAGCGAGCTCGTCTCATCACTTCTCAAGTCAGTCAACCTAGGAGGGGGAAGTGAGGTCGTTTAGGGCCTCATACTCCTCGCTCCGCTCTCCGAGCACGAAGAGATGTTTTCGTCGAGCGGCAGCCGGTGGGCCATACTTCACACCGTCTGTTCGTACTAGAACATTCTGACTTGTACCGTCATTGGGGTCCCATCGGATAAAACGAAACTTGATGGATCCCATTAAGCAAATATCTCCGCTTTTGTGCTAAAAGTATCTTGAGTGCACTTGAAAAACAAATGAGGGGTTAGGAGGTAGAGTTATATCATTTGTGGGTTGCAGTCTTGTTGTGAGGCAGTGGACGAGAGAAAAATTAAGTTACTAATCCGAATTATAATCTCGTGGTTAATTGATTACTTGTTTGCAAAATGATTAACAATCATCACACGTTATTGGCTGAAATCTGCCACGCTTCAAGTGTGATCCAATTATCTTCAAGTCTAAAAATCCGTGGTAAACACCATTACTTTTCTATAATATATTGATACTTCAATATTTAATTTAAGTTTATAGAGTTGATACTTTTGCATAGATTTAATTTTAGTTCATCAATGCATCAACATATAAGGAATGGACGATGGGGACTCAATATTACAAAAAATATAAAATTGTGAGCTAATTAAACGTGTTACTGTGAATTTATGAATTTCGCTGTTTAGTGAAAGACTTTGCAATTATCGATATTATGTACTGAAAGTTCCCAAGATCAGTAATTTCAAAGTTACAGGTGACCATGTCTAATGCTGTAAATGCCTATCGAGGGAAAGGGCCACATGGCTAGAATATACGATATAAACGCATCTATATATGTGATAGTCAAGAAACCACATTTTACAAAAAATATTGTAAGCAAAAACAGGAGAAATTATACACAAAACATTTCTCTAGTTTCTCACTCTCCATATAGTGCTTTTATCAATCTACTAGAATCACCCTTAGTGTGCACTGGTTTTCTCAGCGGTCAAGTCGCACGCAGCCCTGAGGATTGGGGCGGGTGAAACATGTGATAAACGAACAAACTCAAACCGTTTGGTCTCAACAGATGTTCCATTGAGGTTTACCGCTTGACCAATTTGCTTGGAGTTGCAATATTTGAGAATGAAATCAGGGAATTTCCTATTCTTGGCTCCTCTTCTTAAGCCGGTCTGTAATCGACATTACTCCACACTGGAAGGTTGCTGGTTGAAACGTATTCTCGCGGGAGTCGGTGGAGATGAAGAATAATTTCTCCTTTCGCGATGTAGAGAGTACAGCTGGCGTTTTGTAGGCTGCTTTGGAGATTGGTCTGGTACGTGCTGTATTAAGGTCCAGTCATGTAGATGGAGGTAGGAATGGACAAACCATTGACGGCATGCTTTCCCAAAGATCTGTCCTAAAACCGTGGCGAGAGATGGTACCTCAGCCTGCGTGACAGTGTAACACCGGCAGAGACTTCAACCAACACCTTAGGGCTGCCGGCAGTGCATCAGGAGAATTCTTTGTTCGATTTCAAGGCTTGAAAGTAAGGAAGACTCGTAGGACGACTCCTCGGGTTACTCGAATTAGCACTGAATGTTGAAATATAATGCTGCCATCTCCTAAGTATAAACAGAACTCATTGTGCATGACGAGGCCGGTAACAACTCTTGTGACTCCAACGAGATTCGGAACGTTTATAAATTTCTAATACTTAAAATGTTTCAACTTGCCATTCGAAACCTGGCGTTGAAGAAAGCGTTACCTCTAATGCAGTGTTACCTTATAGAACGAGATATGCCGGCTTTATATGAATATATTATTGCATATGCATAAAAGTTGCAGAAATCATGAAATACATTGAGGTAAGGTTGATTAAAACTGAATCATTTGAAGCATTTAACGCAGATGTTTCCTAAAGATTACTACAGGTCTTCGAGACTGTGACAACCACAATGTGTGCAACCAGTAAAAATCAGGTTACGCACATCAATTACCAACTTCCAGCAAGTCGCTATGTTTATCGTGACTAGGCTCTTGGACTGCAAGCATGTCGGTAGACTTGACGAGCAGTGAAACAACGAGACGACAATGAGGAGATTTATCACAGGTGGGGGATTCTCTGTCTTTCGTAGTGATATGTTCTACAGACATAACAACTGCGAACAGTTTGGAACCAGGCCTGGAATTGAAACACTTCCTTTAGTGAAAATTTATGTGCCACGACAACCGTATGTGAATCTCGCTGTGCACTCAAGGAGAGAGAGAAGTCCTTTGTACCCGAAATGAGAGAGCTCCAGAAAAAGAAAGGGAGAAGGCATGAGTGGCGCATAATGTAAATTCGACGTTCTCTATGAACCTCTCTATCAGTTACATTCTGAGTGGACTAGACAAGAGTAGAGTACAGAGCAAATACATATATACATATATTCAACAACGGGACTACTCATGGAGAGGAAAGAGGAGATTTGAAATGAAACGGTCCATGAGAAGGAACAACTGTCGAGGTTATACAGAAAGATCATCAACCCAGTCCAGTGTTTCCAGGTTCTCAATGTCAGATAGACAGGGATAGTCGCATGCTGGGACCCACACCATTCCTTTCTGCATGTAAGAATAATCCACAGCGAGACAAATGTGCTTGGGTTCTAAACATGTATGTCACGAAAAGAAAGCTAGCCGGGAACCACCAAGCTACCGCCGTGGTCCCATCTCTTCTGTCTACAAGACAAAAACATGGAACACTCTCCTGAAACTGGCAGTGAGAAGGCATATCAAATCCGAGATTTCTTGTGTTACTTTTCACATTCGAAGTCAATGTCAGTCTTTCTCGCAAAAGAAATTGAGTCGATTATCTACGAAAAGTGGCTGAAGCACGACAATCATGAGACGTGATTGAAACTTGTGCATACTATAGCTCTTTCAAGTGAGAATAAATTACATACCCTGTGATGGGTTAGCTAAAACTCTTGAATGCTGAGTCCCAAGCCTTTAAGTTCAGAAGACTCTTTTAGTGCATCCCTATCCCCGAGGGGTGATCATCCGATACCGGAAATTAAGAAACGTAGTCTACAAACCATCATTGGCACCTTGTTGAGAAGGCTTTTGCCTCCTCGTCAAATTAGTTATAGTGGACATCATAAGCTTAGGATCAATAGGCTTAGTGAGGTAGGCATCCATACCAACTTCAAGACATTTGGCTTCATCAGATGACATTGCGTGAGCGGTCAAAGCTACGATTGGTATGTGAAAACTGGTACCTTTTTCGGCCTGCCGAATGGCCCTCGTTGCATCATACCCGTCCAATTTCGGCATCTGCAGACATCAATAGAATAGCTTAGACAAGGAGCAACAGAGACAAAGGGTTCGACGACATAAAAACAAAAGAACTTGAGACAAAAGCACCTCTCAAGAGTCGGTCAGAAACGTGTACCTGACAATCCATCAGCACCAAATCATAAGGAACTGATGATTCTTCCAAATACTTCAGCTTACGAATTTTATCTCTCTCTAAACGGACGTTCGATTCAGGACATTGCGTGAGTGCATTGACAGCTTGTAACCCATCACCCACCGCTGACACCGTCGCACCCAGCTTCTCTAACATCATTGTTGCCACCCTCTGGAGGACTGGAGTATCCTCGGCCAGGAGTATCCTGATCCCTTTGAGAGCGTCTTGCGGTCCGATCCTAGTGGAGGGCGAATTCTCATCTTTTCGCCGTACTCTTGTGAGTCTTACAGGCTTATCGACGGGGACATCAAGAGCCTCTCCAGACGGCTGCTCCAGTCTACTACTTCCGTCTTTATGAACTACTCCATTGGGGATATTCTGTTCTGCATCTACTGTTAAAAGACTACTAGTTAGTTGCTCAGAAACACTATGTTTACCATTCTGAGCACAATTTTCTGGATGTCGCCCCGGGATAGGCGTGCTTGACAACTGAACTTTATCTGCCACGTCTAGACTTTCAGTTAATCTCTTAGGATCCGCTTCTCCATTCGGCCGGTGGTTCTCGTCCTTAGGAGACACTTCGGTAGCTAAGGATTCCAACGGATGTGATTTCGCGGAGGATAGAAGGGTGGCTGTTTCAGCTAGTTTTGTAGAAGACTGTCTACAGAAGCTACCAGCGATTGCCTCCTCTGTAAGGGATGAGGACGGGGCGGAGACATGGTTTGTTCCAGGAACTGTCGGGGGATTGGGCCCACTTCCTGCAGTTTCCGTTCCCGAGGCCTTAAACCTATCGAGACCTCGTGGGGCAGCCCTTATGTAATTTGAGGGTTTGTAGATAGGAAAGTCTTCGGAATGGCGCCTTCGATGACCGTCTATGAGCAGCAACTCTTCGTCGTGACTTGAATGCTCTAAAATTTGCTCCAACCTCCCGGTCGAATTTGCTCTCAAAGGCAGCGATCGGGCTCGTGTCACTTCATTCTGAGTCTCTGTTAAAACCTGAGATATGTTTAACGCAACTCTCCAAGAGCCTGGCTTCCCCCCATTGTTGAAGTTTGCTTCATTAACAGATGGAGTGACCCCTTGTGCCTTCGGCTGCGCCAACACCTCACCACTTGTGCTGCACCCTACCAACATCTTCAAGAGATGGACTAACTTTGATTTATACACAGGCTTGTTAGCCATGATTGAAAACCCTCTCTTCCTCAGGTCACCCTTCGTGACACTTGAAGTGTCATGATTTAGAAGCCATGCAATTAGGACACCCTTCTTCGTATATCTCTCTAGCACGTCCAAATCACGATCTTGTGTAACGAGGCTGATATCCAGTATTGCTAGTGGTTGGAACTTGGGTGATGACCTATTTTCCTGAACCATGTCCTCTAATTCTGCGACAGTTTCCTCCCACGATGAGGCTTCAACTACATGTAAACCCTTATCCCGCATCCATTTACTCATCAGAGTTCCTCCAGTACGACCTTCGACTGAGAAGACAAGCTGTTTCACAGATTTGACCACGAAGCCCAAGTCAGATGAATATATACGACTACGTTAAACTGATGAGAATGACACGCAAGGAATGGAACGACTGCAGCCAACAAACGAGGCGGAACACTCACGTCAGAAACTACAGATAAGTGTGAAGATGACGTACTTTTGAATGTTGCAGGGTCTCGGAAAAAAATGTGGAAGCGCAATAATCTCGAAAAGTTTTTGGTATTGTGCTCTCTGGAGAGTCTTTGAAAAATAGCGATAGCTTCAGAAGAGTACCACGGCTTTCCTTCTTCATCACCTTTATGTCTCCTCCCATCTTGTTCACCTGCAGCATCATGCCATACGTCGCATGAATTAAAGTAGATTTAATCAAGAATTTACAGCACCTACGAATGGAAGTTGCATAAAATTTATCTTGAATCAGAGCTTTTCACTTACGAGAGACTTCACTATACACAGCCCAAGACCTGTTCCACCGTATCTGCACAATTTTTTACAGTAGCACAAAGTGTCATAAGAAAGCTGAGAATGTGCAGCTGATATTGTGAGGTTTTGAAAAGGCAAATCAACAATAACCTGATTAGTCTCAGCAGAACAACATAAAGGCTATTCAGAACCATAAAGCAGCTGTGGATCTAAGGGAAAATACTTCAAATAAGGAGTTCTAGTCAGAGCAGGGAAAAATCTCACAATATCTTCGTCTATCATGAGAAATAAAGGATAAGATTTGATCGCAACATTAATACGAGATAAATTCCAGACTTTACAATGAAGTTCATTCTTTCTTGATATTAGAGAATAATAAAGCGAGAAGAAAGGTGGAAGTTTTTTTTTCTAATGGTGAGCAAGAGTGGTGAAGTCGAGAAGAACGACATGATAGGAAGCATCTATCAATAGTTCTTCAATGAATAGAACGAAAGAATGGGAGCCATCCAATGAGTCTTCAAATTAAATCATAGCCTGGACAGACCAGGTGAAGATCAGAGTTCTTACGTTCGTGTTGTAGATGGATCGGCTTGCACGAAACTGTCGAATACCGTCTCCCACTTGCTTGGATCAATACCTGCCATCATCGCTCGTCAATCCAGGACGCAGCAGCTAGATTGTACCTGGCAAGAGCAATAAATACTCCCCGCTTGCTACAGAAAATCCTAGAAATTTAACACATACTCGAACGAAAGTTTCATGACAACATTTGGCCCAATTGTGTCATTGAACTGAATCATAATCACCACCTACCACAGCCTGTGTCATCGACTTCGAACCACAAGCAGATTTTATCTGATGGCTGGATATCCTCTTCAAAACGACCACTTCCTACTTTTGTAAACCACGGTGAATTTATATCCTTCCCGACGCTCAACGCTCCGCTCTTCCCACGAAAAGCAGGATCAACCCACCCTCGTACGAGAACATGCCCGGCTGGTCCCTAACGACAAGTATTAGAAGAGCTCATTGAGATTGCAAAAACACTTGCATCAACAACTTCAGATATCAAACGAGAGGACCTGGTCCCGTATGTACAGAAGATCAAATGTAAACACTGAATTCAGAAAACTGCAAATTTGCAAAGAGAAACTGGATTGAATTATCGTACACGAAGTAAACTTGATGGAGTTTGCAATCAGGTTTGCAAATATCTGTACCGTGCGAGCAGAATCTCCTCGTAAAAGACGGGGAATATCGTCTGCGGTAGGAGGACAAAGTCCATCAGGTATCGAGGAGCGATTCAAAGCAGGAGCACACTTCATTCATCAAGCACTCCTCTAATTACTTGGCAAAGCAGAGACGACATAGATGAAGAGTGAGCTGGACTATACAGCATTTGGACACTAGATACAGAGAGCAGTGTCATGACCGTATATAATTTGATTAACAAGTTTCTTCAAGGATGGATGGACAACATTTTCGTGGCCAAGAGGAGAACTCTCACCAGCAAGTTCAAGGACTATTTCCACACTATGATCGTCACACTGCACAGAAAACATGTCAACCAATCCTTCTAGCTCACGCCGAAGATCAAAATCTGCTTCTTCTAGGACAAGTTTCCCAGACTCCACCTGCATAATATCCAGGAATCAATGTTGGAATTTCCATTGCCAAGCTCGGCGAAACAATTGCTCGTGGATGACCTTCAGCCGCAAACGGACAAAAGAAAAAGTTAGTGAAAAGTAGCACCTTCCAAACTTGCTGAGATATCTTACCTTACTGAGATCAAGGATGTTATTCAAAAGGCGAAGCAATGCTGTCGAGCAGTCTCGTATCTGGGATACCATCGCTACCTGTTCTGAAGTCATATATTCATCGCAGAGCAATATATCGAGCAGTCCTATGACAGCCGCCATAGGTGTCCGGAGTTCATGACTGCACCCCAAATAAGCACAATGTCAGCAGCGGATATTCAAGAAATTGCGGTATCTACTCGCTCGCGAACATATCCCTCGATGCAATCACAATATGCCACCGACCAATTGCTGTGTGGAGAGGTGATTTCCACGTTATATGGCTGCAGGCCTCTCACTCCGACTGATGCACATGCGACTTGCAATCACAGACTTGCCTCATGTTTGCAAGAAATTGACTCTTGTAATTGCTCGAGGCCTCAGCCCGTCTTCGAGCATCAAGGTGATCAATCAGCTCAGATCGCAATTTCATCTCATTGGATACGCCTGTTGTAAATATCAGAGTGAACAAGCACCCCACCACAAGAATGCAAACAGAAATCGAAATCAGGATGGCAAGGGTCGCATGGCCTCGACGGTCCACAGCCCCCATCACGAAGGATCGCGGAGTCACGATAACGCCCACCTGTAATACGCACCACAGCAAGGAAGATGTAAGCTCTCCTGTGCGATCGAAACTAACGGGGCCAACTTTCCTAAGACATCTCCCAAGACATTTCTTTCAGTGGGCATGTCGGTACATGCCCGAACTCTCTCTGTTTCTAGGACGCTCGCGAAAGTCAAGAACCAGAGGGCTTATCGAGAAGGCGTCCAAAGTCAGGTGTCTAACCAAAGGCAGCTTGCTCAAATTCAGTACGAAAGTATCCACGTAGTATTTTTTTCCCAGCAGCACCACATCCTCTGCGTGCACATTCTGCAAATTCTCCAAATCGGTTCCATATTCTCTTCTGAGCCACATTGACCCTGCACTTATTATGCTATCCGTTGACTCATGTGCGCGGATGAGCGACGGCCCGTTCGATGAATTTTTTAGCAGCGGAGTGGAGGTCGATGACGCAAGTAGCCATCCATCAGCATTTGTCAGGTAGATGGTTCCACTGTGCAGAGTTACAAGCTCCTGCATGAGCTGGCTGACCCCTCTCAGAGCTTGCGTTACGCCAGCGACAGCCAGAACTTCACCTGTTTCGGGGTGCCTCACTGGAGAGCCAGAAGCTAGAAATGGAGTATCGTCAGACCTGTGGACAGTGATGTGCCATGAGGTATCACCTTCCTTTAGAAGTGCCACGCCACCGAAATCCTGTGTCAGATTGTATGGCTTAATCTCTACGGCTGGTCCCATTTTGTGGCCAGTACGCTTGTTCACGGGTTCCCTAAACCATGTGAATGTGTCGGCCGTGCTCTTTGGCAGAAAATCCTCTGCACCTGATGGTGATGGAGACGGTGATGGGAAAAAGGCAGCTATCGGAGACTCTGCAGACTCGGTGTCGTTCCGGAAAACAGAGTAGGAGTAAAATTCTTCCTTGGTGGCAGCATCCCTTTCAAATCCTTGAGTCAGGCCGTTGCTGTACACTATCGTCAATGCATTCACTGCATTCCGACTTGTAAATATAGCCCACGTAACATTCCGCATAACATTGTATAACTGCTGAACAGGAAACAAAACAATGCCTAGTGAAAGTAAGTGTCTCGCATGCTTAGAGTTATCAGAATCCAGATTGAAAGGATTCCCCTTCAAACTCTTACAACTCACCCACTTGATCACGACTGTCCCAACCTGTTTTTTGTGCTAGCAGTAACTTGCACGCCACAACTGACAACCCGTGGTATTGAGAATCGTGTCAGCTCGAGTCCAGTACAGTCACGTTGACACACACTGGGCTCGAGCGAGTACAATTAAGGGAGAGCGTAATACCTGATCTTGATCTCCAGGGCTGATTGGCAGCTTGTATTGGCCTACAACATATTTAGACAGATTAACATGCGTAACTGTGGTGTCTAGAGTAGCGTTCAAAAGATTCCACATTCGAGCAATTGGTCGCTGTAGAAGCTCCGTCCGTAGACTAAAAGCGAGACTCTTTATGGATCTCGTTGTGTACACCGTGGTGAAATGCCATGTCAATATCGTGAGCAACCCAATTAGTATCGTCAGCATCACCTGAAACAGGCAGGAACAAAAACAGACTCAGTCTCTTGGAAAGTAATGCTCTGCAGTGGAACAATTATGCAAACTTTAGGTCGATGAAGGAAATGGCTACAGACAACCAGGAAGGGAAGCCCCATTGGTTAAAGCAGCATTGCGGTGCTAATGATGGCCGCATATGATCCACATCGTCAGCGGAATAGGGCCACAAATAGGTCCGGAAAAGAAGCTCGAGAGTCCGTAGCACGGAAAATATCACTGAAATCAACACAACCTCTGCTTATTATCCTTCCTAGAGTGGAGGCATTTTTGGCATGCCCACTTCGAGTCACTCAGCCCTTTTCAGCTGAAATTACTCCATGTAGAGAGTCGCTCTCCCTCAAATTCCAGATCTAAATAGATTTCTTGCTAATCTCTTGTGCCACATTTTTTCTTCGTGGCAAATAACGCGTTCCCAATCCGCTTCCTGTTGAGTAATCGCCTGATGTTCAAACATTATGCGAGACCCAGCATCCGCGCTGACCTCTTAATAACCTGGAAATTTCAGGTTGAGGATATCCAAGCCTAAGTTTCTGAAATCCCCGTCCAAATTTATCGATCTAGCAGTGCTCGGGAAGGGCATCAAATCCATCTAAGGCCGTCTACCAGTTACTCCCAGACAGTCAGGGGAGCAACGACCTGGCTGAATCTAAGCAGAAAAATACTCCAAAATTTCGGCAGGTTTCCATTGGGATTCAAGTCTCGAGGTCGATTTCTTGGGCTCCGTCAGAGCAAAATGGTCGAAAGCCTATGACTTGTGAGTCTCACACCTGCTCGAACCCGGGGTTCCTCCGACCCATCAAACTGCCAGTCGGTCCATCACTGACATGCGCTCCTCCGATGAAAATGGATGGATGGATGGATGGATGGATGGATGAATGAATGAATGGGTGTGCTATGTACAGACTGCGAACAACAATTAGACCGAGAATATGCATGGTGAAGACGCAACTGACATCATCATGATTACACTGCCGACCAGATCGCTAATGCGAGCAGCCAGGCCAGACCAGGCGAGAAAAGATCGACACAAATGCAGGGCCTGCCATGGGCGACGGCTTGAGCGCGCATCGGCTTACCATGATGGCCAATCGGGCGCCGAAGACGCTGTAAGATGCGCGCTTCTTCGGCGCCTCGAAGGATCGATCGAGGTCGGAGAAATCCTCATCCCGGTGCGATTCGGCGTCGCCGGTCGGCGCCCAGACTCGAGTCCCGCGGCCGACGCACTGCTTGACGTCGCCGCAGCTCCACCACCGGCCGCACCCTGAAGATCGTCCATCGAGTCGATGGCCCAGAGAATCCGTCTCGCCACAGGCGCGCGACCGACTTTTCAAATACTGCCGCAGCTCTCTCCGACAACTGCACCGAAAATAACAAGACCACCTGCCGCACCGAGACGACGATCCCATCAGCGATCGAGAGGAAATGGGAGCAACATCACGCGAACGGGCTCAGAGCCAGCGCAAGGCGGAACCAGAGCGCTCTGCGAGCAAGGGTCGAGGCAAGAACGAGGCCCCGCGCCCAGGGCCCGAGACTTGTCGCTGGCGTGGGCGCGCGCAGCACGAGCGGAGGTGAATCGAGCGCCCCGGCGCCCCAGGGCATACTTGACTGGCAAAGTCAACGGGCCGCAAGACTTTGTGCCTAACGCGGGCGGATTGGGACAGGCGGAGCAAATGTAGGACCTCCGGCCTCATTTAATCCTCTCAGGACGTGAACGACCTTTTGCCACCTGGACCCGGCATGCCGAAAATGCGGAGCCCTGCGAGGCCCCGGGCAGCACCGGACGGATCTCTCGGACTCTATCTCCCCACCGCCGGGCTGATCTCATCTCCTCATCCGCGCTCCATCATTCCCTTCAGCATCTGCGAGAGGCGCCTGGCTGCGGCGCCCCTCCGGAGAGCCGCTGGCGCTTCTAGCAGAGCACAGGGCCAGGCTCCAGCGCAGCGCAGCCTCGGACCTCGGACCTCGGACGATTTCGGGTTCCGCGCATGCAGCATCGGTGTGACGTCCTCGTGTTCCCATCGACGTCCCATCCATGGCGCCCGCGGTCGGGTCGGGTCGGGCCGGGCCCGAGGGCCTTGGACGTGGTCCCGTCCTGGCCAGGCTTGGTCCAATCCTCCTCCGTCTCCACAGACGCGTGACTCGATCGATAACCCGACAAATGTGCAAGCGAACCCTTTGTTTTAGATGCGCGATTCGTGATTTGGGTTGGTAGGACGTTCTCGTGCAAGTACAGAGTTTCTCTCTCTCTCTCTCTCTCTCTCTCTCTCTCTCTCTCTGAACCGTGTGCTGCCATGTACCGTACCCGGGGGTCCGACGTTGTTAGATGCAGGGCCGAGAATCTAAGGCATCTGTGGCTGTCAGAAAGTAGTGTCAGATCCCCCGACCCGATTCCACGTCAAAAGATCGTTCATTCACGTCTTTAGTTAGACTTGAAAGTTAACCGCCGTTAGTTGCCTCCGGGCGCTTGTAAAATATGAACTACCCATACACTCTAGTTCATCCCGTGGCCGAGAGGATGCCTTGTTTCTCGGCAGCTGTAGGAAGAATTTGTGCTCTCGCAGTAATGGATCGTAAGAGTTCTCAGATATGGCATTGGAATGCTGGCTGATGTGTTCCAGAGGGCTCAGGAGAGCAAGCATGGCTCACCTTCCTCTTACTAGGTGCATCACCCGAATTCCTAGTCGCATGGACACCTTGACCTTCAACCTCTATCTGCTAAACTTGAACTTGAGGTGTCTACAGACCTAACCCAAATCTCACAGTCACGTCATCTTCTGACTTTCGGTACAGTCGCGAAGCCTCCTCTCCTTCTGCAGCAAATATCGGCTGTGGACTGCTGGCTGTACAGGAAATACCGTTCCAGTCCAGGCAGCATGAGGAGGAGGAGGAAAAGGCAAAGACAATCTGCAAGAAATTCAGAACCTAGTAACCTACCTCCCGCAGCAGAAGAGCGAGACCACACAGATTATATTTTAATACGCTCGATGTAAGAAGCAATCACCGCTCGGACAGGCCTCGGACTTCAAGATCGAAAAACGGAAGATTGACGGAATGAATCGGAGTCGAGTTCCTAAAGCTAACGAAGGTGGGAGAATGAAGAATAGAAGAACGTTGAAGAAAACGAGAAAGCTTCTCTCCGTAGGAGGAAGTAGGATCAGTGTTGGCCACAGCCCGCACGTGGTCATCATAAGCCCCCTGTGAATATTCTCCTTTATGGCGGTCAAGCTCCCCACGTCGTACCTGGCACTTTTCGCATCACAGAGTCCACTACTGCTACTACCTGCCCAAAACTTACCCTAGCTCGCACTTTTCTACTACAATTGATGGTTCGAGCGTCGCGTTTCATGGAGAGATTTGTCGCGCAACTTTCCATCCGGTGCGTGCACCTTCAGTTCTTACCTAATGCACAATCACTTGACATTTCGTATATTGCAAACTAAAGCACGAGTTGATCAACTTCTTGATCGTAAGTGGGTTTGTTTTCATATAAATGACTTGCTAGTTATAGACGATTATTCTCGTCAAAATTAAAGCGCATTTCCACGGTAGAGCAGCGTGAGGCATTATACCTCATTACTCAAAATTCCCTACGAGAGAGAGAGAGATAGAGAGAAAGAATGGACGAAGATTAGCCAGCCACAGTTGAACTATTTTTTTGCCCTATCCAGGAGACGCGATGAAACACAAAAATGAGAGATGTGCAATTTGGGAGACTTGTACACCTTGAACGGCAGAGTGTTCTACCTCAATGCCTCACCGCCGGTGAGACTCATCTGCACTCGGCTAATAGAATAATACACAGAAGACTCCATTGCGCCGTGATGTAACCCCAACTGCACACGGCTAATGGAGATGAGCAGTTGTACCCCATCTCTCTGCTCTTATGAGCGGGGTACGGAGATGTGCACGTTGGGGTCTTGTACCATCATGCATCCTCCCGAGGGGAAGCCAAGTCGCGGTCCATTCCAGGGACTTTCGGTGGTTGGGAGCGGCCGATTTGAGACTCCGATTTTCACGTGTTCGCCTCTGGCCTCTTACCCGAGCAGTGAAAAGGCTTCTTCATTGCTTCAACCTGGCACCGAAACATAATCTAGGGAAGGACTAGCCTAGCCTAGCTTTCGCGTAGCTTGCATTGAAAGTAGGACGGAGACGAATGACAAGAATATAACGACGAAAAAAACCGCCACGACGAGAGCAACACCAACACCGAGTCCGAAAAGTGCAGTGCCCTCACAAGGGCACACGGGAACAAGAAGCTTCTAAGGCTCCTGGCTTGAGCCGGTCGTGTCCATGGCTGGGCTACCCGGAGTAGCCTACTCCGGTCTGCCCTGCGTCGACTGGAACCCGAGGTCGGGGTCCATCGGAGGAATCTTCCTTTCTGCTTCCGAGGCGAATGAATGCTGCAATGAAAGGACTACGAACCTGGATGCAAAACACGAAAAAAAATGGACCCCTTGTCTCCTCTCTTGATGAAGGCGGTCGCTCCCTGACATCTCTTTCCTTATAGACTACAAGGAAAGAGATGTCAGAGAGAGGAGGGCGTTGCGAGGTGATCTATGCTGCACCGTGAGGCACCTAGAAACCTAGGCTGGACCTTCGACATGTCAGGTAGAAAAACTTTACGCTTTCGTGCCGTGCTTTTAATGCTTTGACACTTGCGCATTGTATTCAGAAGGTGAGCAAGTGTCCTAATGGTTGTAGTCTGAGTTCAGTCCGAACCCGGTTTTGTCCGCAGCCTTTGAAGTTGTCCGCAAACCCCTCGCTGTGAAACTTTTGGAAGCGTTTCTACGTGCCCATGCTATTCAACATGAGTTGCACTTCAGAATATGTAAACTCGCATATATGCAAACAATCCCACTGTTACACGTCTTTGTCATATTCATCTGAATTGTCCATTCATTTGATTGGTAAAAGATTTCTGATTTGTGTGATCCCTCTACTTTTGTCATTTACAGTATCAATTGCATATGTCTTCATTACAAACTTTTGATGTTTAACTAAAACTTTAAAAATATAGGTTATGTGTTTTATTAGAGAACTGTACTTATTATTTTCAGTATGCCTTCGTATATCTTACGTCCGAAAGTGTTCAACATATTACATTTTCAGTTCTCTTCATTTGTTTCACATTTAGTCAGATAGTTAAATACTTGATGGTACCCTACTGATTACAAAACATTTGCTCGAACCCAACTACCCGTTAAACACTGAACCCAACAATTCAGTAGCCATCCCAACCATGTTCAAATACAAGTTGTTGGGACTGTTTTGCTCCTGAGTCCAGCCTCCATGTTTTTCAAGTCCACATCGACATATCATGATTAGATGGTTCGGAAAAAGTACAATCCATTTCATCCACCAAAAAAAAATAACAACTCGAGATGCCAAAAATGATATTCGCAAATTATATGCTCTTAATTCATGCAACATTGTCATAGGGTTGTAACGAGCTACTACGGTAAACAAGAATTATCGACTTGCCACATTTCAATGCTACAAACCTACTCGAGGTGATAGCCTTTTGCTAACGTTCCCAACCAAAATTATCGTTGTGTGCACACTAATAACGTCACTTTTGAAATCACGCGTACATATCACAAAAATTCATATAGAAACATGGATGACAATTGGTTGAAGATATCATGGCAAATCCCATTAGGTAAGATGAATAGTGTTATGCCTCAACGAGTGTTTTGTGTTTCGGAGATTTCCATCACGTAATTTTATCTTAGTCAATATAAAATTTTGAAAATTCATCAAAACTTAATTGTATGTATTCATTAACTCTTATAAATCAATCATACTTGTACCTAAATTAAACATATATATATATATAATCCATAACATTAAAATATAAATGCGCTTTTATTATGAATTTTATTCACAATGCATATAATAAGCCAAGTTATCATTAAAACTATCATTTTTTTTACTTTGCATAATGATGTATGATCTCGAATGCTATAAGAGATATAATATATCTAAAAAAAATAGTATGATTTGCTCTTCATTAGGATAAAATATAAAACAAGTCAATTGTAAATCATGCTTTCATAAAAATATTTTGAATATCTTGCAAAACATAAAATCATGAATATCATGTGAAATAACTGTATATATTATTATAGGTCTTGGTGCCAATCTAAGTTACACTTATTAAAACCTTCATATTTTTTAATGGATATTTATGTATTTATGTATTTGAATTAAATGGAACTATATGGATATAAATATTTAAATTTTATCAATTTTTACTACGAGTATTATTTTCATTATATTGAACAAATAATATTAAGATTTTATTTCTTTTTTATTTCAATGAAGTAGAGATAATAATACTGATGAAACAAAATCAGACGATGTTATCATTTGTAGATAGCTTGGATATTTGATATGTTTGAACACATAGTTTTTTATTGTTAAGCTAGTGAGATCTAGCTCTTGGATAATTGATTTCAATTTCATTTAGGAGATTGATGAGATATACTATTTTTCAATATTACTCGGTTATCACTACTCAAACCGGAGGTGTTTTCCCAAATATCTTTTTACTTTACTTGTTCACCTTGTGAAGTTACAGCAAATCAATCACCATGTGTTTCTTGGCTTTCTGGAGGATGAGACGAACATGCATGCTTTGTCCTCGCACAAATAATTGACCATCACAAACACATACAACTTTGTACTTCCTGACTTGCTCTTACTTTCAAAGCATCGGGTATTTGTATCTCATTCCTTATGTCGGTCTTGTTTGCTCGATAATAGCGCTCTAGAAGACTATTGGTGTGCAGTACATGCCAACGATCTCAACACTTTCGTCGTTTTCTGCAGATTCCTGAAAATTCCCCGATCTTTAATTGGGTCTTGAGAGCAAAGTTTTGATTTTTTAGAGCGATAAAATATAATAAGGAAATGAGTCATCCTCATCTCCCGGCTTCAGGTAGTCGATGACATTTAGATGAAGATAAACCTTACTAGCTCGTAAAACTAATCTTCAACTCAACTAAAGTGGGAAAACTAATCTTCAAGTAGCTTGCTAAGAGTAGGTCTACAAGCGTATAAGTATTTTAGTTACAAGTGTAAACTTTTACTAAGCGATATATCAAACTGTGAGCTCTTTATTCTTCTACAATGCAAATTTAGAGATGAGACTGTTCTTTCCAGTATCTTCGGCGAGCCAATAAC